TTTTTTAATATCGGAGGGGCGAGTTGAATGGAATCTGTTTTGTTCCGCTTTCCTGAAAGCCTCTTGGTTCATCCTGTCTCTGGAATTCTAGTGAGCAGTCTTAGGTCTCGCCAACAGCACCACTTTCCCCCACCCCCAAACTGTGTCTTGAGGAGGTCAGAGGGTAGCGTGGAGGTAGAGTGAAATGGTGCAGTTACATTGGATTTACTGCCACATACTGAAATAGTGAAAAGTATTGTTTCGTATGCTGTTTGCAAAAGAGTTGCCGCTCTGTCAGATGCCATCTTGAACCTCCGTTTGTATTGATTGAGATTACTTTTTTTTTAAAACCTAGTTAAGTAATGTGGTTGGTTTTGTTATTTGAATTGTTTTGAGAGTTTGAGTAGGGAGGGCTCAGATGCGGAAGTTTCGAAAAAAAAAAATGATCTTGTTTTAAATGTTGAGGTTTTACCAGGGTCACAGGCTGGACAGCTTAAAGCGAGGGGCAGGGCTCAGGTTCGGAGTCTCCTGGGTAAGAGGTCTGTCATTCCTCACAGATGAGGTGGAATTTTTGTCACTCAGAGGGTTGTGAGCTGTTGTAGAATTCGGGGGCTGTGAATACTGAGTTCTTCAGTAGTTTTGAGACTGTTATTTTTTTAGGGCCGTTTAGGAATGTTTTAGTGTTTTGAATTCTTGGCTGAAACAGGAAGTGCCCTTGGTGTAAGTGGAAAAGAATGGAGTGTGGGGCAGGTGTCTGTGATCAGGGGCTAGTGCCTTACCTTGTCATGAACTTCCCGTCTCTGTGGTACTCTGTGAGTACCGGTGGTAGTAGTTAAAGCAGCTATACCACTGGTTAAGTCACCAGACTACAAGGGCCAAGCACTGGGTTCTCACTGAGCAATGAGAAATTGAGAAACACTGACGTCTGTGATCCTCTTCTCTCTCTACCCCTCTGCCTCCACCTCTTGCTTGATGGTATCTTCATAAAATCCCTACAGTGTGGAAACAGGCCATTCGGACCAACCGGTCCCACCGAGACCCATTCCTCTAATTTCCCATGTCTAACCTACCTAACCTAAACATCCCTGGACACTATGGGCAATTTAGCATGGCCAATCCACCCTAACCTGCACACCTTTGGACTGTGGGAGGAAACCCGAGCACCCGGAGGAAACCCACACAGACACGGAGAATGTGTGAAGTTCGCACAGACAGTCGCCCGAGGCTGGAATTGAACCCGGGTCCCTGGCGCTGTGAGGCAGCAGTGCTAACCACTGAGCCACCGTGCCGCCCCATATGATAAAAAGCAAACATATTCAAGAGTTGAATCTTCCACTGGTACAAAACCAGATGACCTGATCACACTTTTTTGTATTTTCTCCATTCCAACAGGGACTGAGTGATAACTCAGAAAGACGTTGCTAAGTTCACAGATTGTGTGTTCTCTCTCTTTTTTTTCCTGCTCTTTTTTTGTGTCCGTGTGTCCGTGTGTCCGTGTGTCCGTGTGTCCGTGTGTCC